CATTTTAACGTTTTTAGGTTTACCTAGAATGATACTTTACAGAAGAGCCTTATTGCTTCTCTCGCCTGGTCGTTTTCGAAAATATTAATAACGCTATCTACTGATGATTCACTACACTTGAATCATGATAGATTGTTTTCTTGTGAATTAATTTATGTTACCAAGTAGTAGTTCTTAATTTATTTGTGTAAAATCAGCTTCTTTAATATATACCTAACTACTTCGTTCTGATATATTAAAAGTGTTTTGAATTAGAAGTTCTTAATTTTTACAATATTGTGTTAGATAGACTGTTTCTAATGTATAATATTCATATCTGCTGACGTGATCGATTTCACTGACGAACGGAAAATGGAAATACATAATTTTGTGATAGAATTATTTTTCTCAGTGTGCGTGATTTCGCAGACAAAATTAAAGTTTAATTTATACCATGGGAATTTACATAAGCATCACGAAATTTACAACATTTTTTGTTTTTAATATTTCAATGCGTGCTTACACGAATCAGTAAAATACTTAGAACCTTCGGCAAAAGCGATAAATTGAGGAATACAGCAGAACTTTCAACAATAACGATAGATTGAGTAATATATCAGAACTTTCAACAATAACGATAGATTGAGTAATATATCAAAACTTTCAACAATAACGATAGATTGAGTAATATATCAAAACTTTCAACAATAACGATAGATTGAGTAATATATCAAAACTTTCAACAATAACGATAGATTGAGTAATATATCAAAACTTTCAACAATAACGATAGATTGAGTAATATATCAAAACTTTCAACTAGAATGATATAATGCCTGATTATCAAATTCAACAAATCGGTATATTGACTAATTTGTCAAATTTTTTGACATATTTTGTGGCAGCAAACATATACTGACTATCAAAACTTTCACCAATAGCAGTGTATTGTCAACTTTGCCAAAACTTAAAATGAAAATACTGTGTATTTACTAGTTTGTCAGCAGTAAATCTGAGGGCTTATAACGCAAAAAAATCGGGTTTCAATATTTGCAGTGAGCAACACTATAGATAGTTTATTGTGTAGTTTTGTGCTTAATAATAACAAATAACCAAACCAAAGTTTCAACACAGTCCGATATATTGAATATTTTATCATATTTTCAACAAGTCCAATATTTTTAAAAGTCCAAGACTAATTTTAAAAATGTTCAACAAAGTATGCCCCCCCCCCCGAAGTCGGACAAGTATAATTTTACGGACTTATTACGTTAAAAACCGGGTTTCGAAACCCTCGATGAACACAGCACAGATATCCCATTGTGCATCTCTGCTAAACTTCAAACAATGAATCTATCAAAACTGAGTATATTTACTAATATTTTGCAAGAACAACGATAAACTGATAATTTTTCTAAAACTTTCAACTTTAACTATTGATTGATTTGTAAAATTTTCAAAGTTGACTCTTCTGAATGCGTCACAAAAGCTACATCTTAAACTTGATTCGTTTGATGTATAACAGGTGATCAAAGCAAGTCGCATCGCTTTCAACTCTGTCCTGATTAAGTTATAGTTGTCATAACCATTAGGAATTTTAACTGACTAGAAACTAGGGAAACTTTGAGAAATTAAACAAAAATATTTCTTAGTCGATAGAAAATGTCATTTTTTGAAATAGAAATACCATTTTAAAAGTAAATTTTGAAATGCTGTCGTTAAAGGTTTTTAAAATATCTGTTCGTGATTAGATTGTAAAATGCACTGCTGTAAATTCTAGGATCACGACGTTAGTATGTTATCTTGTTTGGATTTGCTGGTTATACAAATTCCTGAATCATTGAAGTTTGGAAATTAATTTGACATGATTTATAAGTTCACTTTCATATTTAAAAATAACTAGAGCATAAGCAATAGAACATTGTGCAAATTGCTACAACCCATAGATAAGTCGGCCCGGCATGGTCAGGTTATTAGGGTCACGGGTTCGAATCCCCGTCCCACTAAACATGCCTGCCCTTTCAGCCGTGGTGGCGTTATAATGTGACCGTCAATCCCACTATTCGTTGGTAAAAGAGTAGCCCAGGAATTGGCAGTGGGTTGACTAGCTGCTTTCCCTATAGTCTTTCACTGCTAAATTAGGAACGGCTAGCGCAGTAGCCCTCGTGTAACTTTTTCGAAAACCAAACCAAACCGTAGATCAGTCACTACAGTGATGGAAAAAATTTAATTTATTAGATCACCCAATTTTTCACACTTTTCTTCAGATTCTTTGTCTATTTTTAGCTCCCTAACGCAGGTAGATGCAAATGTGTTTCATGGATGATGCAGTACTGTCTAATTATTATATCAGCAGCTTTATAGGCTATCTGGGTATTGCAACAGCCATTTTTTGGCTAAAGATAGAGGTTCTTGCTGAGAGTCAGTTAAGCCTATCTGCTACAACTTGCGTGTGATAAGGGTTGTGAGTTAGTTCCACGAAAAATAAAGTCACTCTTTCTTTGAGCAAAGAGGGACTTTCGACAAGGCAGATTGCTAGAAGCAGTCGCTGGATGCAGAGATGTAGAAACTGGCAATGTGGAGCAGCGGAAGGAAAGGAGTAGGAAGGAAGTTTCTACAGGAGCTAACGATCATGTTCTGAAACGCACGAGCTTGCAGAATTGTCGACTTTCGACCACAAATCTCAAAAGAGCAGGAAACGTAAGAGGTTGCTGTCACCACAAGCGTCAACTGGTCTCGCCTGTATTTAGCTGATCTTCCAACAAGACGGTCAAGGAAGATGAAGCCCAGTTGGGGTCAAAAGTATGCTTACTGGGCTGAAGCAATGTGGGGCAAAGTGATCTTTTAGGACCAATCAAAGTTCAGCCTTCACGAGTCTGATGGGAAGCACTTTGTATGACGACGATGTGGAGAAGTGTTTCATCCAGCGTGTTTGAATGCAACTGCGAAGCATCCGCAGAGTCAGATGATATGGGGATATATCTCTTGCCAGGGTCTAAAAACGCCTGCATTTTGTAAAAGACACTGTCAATGCCGACAAGTACGTCGAGATCCTCGAGTCCCGGTGAAAGCCAACAATTCGAGATCACTTCGGTGAAGTTGACCAGTGTACATTCCAGGATGACTGTTCCATGCCACAGGGCTAAAATATACAATATACGTGAAATAAAGAGGAAATTCCACTCTAAATGTATTCGAAAGACATCTTGGGTTTTATTTCACTGCTTCAGGTGATGGGCTATCTTTGAGGGGAGAGGATCAAGACACTGCGCTGGCCAAGCAAGTACAGGAAGTCCTAATCCGCGTGTAGCATCATAAACTCGCCCCTGCCTACATTCAGTACCTCGTGCATTCTATGCCACTTAAGGCCAGAAGGGACACGATCAAATATTAAAACAATAAACAGACTGTGATCACTTTTTGTCAGTTACATTAAATCTAGGTTTTCTTATTCAGAGAACATCTTCGTATCTGCCAAATATTTGTTGATCATCTGCTGTAATACGTTTTTCACAGTTGGTTTGTTATTAAAGATGTATGTATGTTTGAATGACTGAAATATGAGTCAGCTTACACCACACAATGTTCATAATCGTTATACACTAGTGGACAATAAATGCTACTCCCTGTATAAAGTTCAATCAACTACAAGTTGTATTGGTTAGTATTTAAAGTTACTGTATAAAGTACCTTCAAATACTTGTATTTGTTAATGTTTAGAACAACTTGTCTTAGCTAATGTATGGAGCAAAGTGCCTTAGGATGTTTCTTTTCTTGTTGTTTAATATTATTATTTAAAGAAAAATGAATTGAAATATAAATTTTTATTAAGGCTATAGTATAGAACAGAATATCTCGGAATAAGTTTCTTGTTAATATTATTGTATAGATTAGAATATTTTGGAATACGTTTCTTGTTAGTTAAGATTATTATATAGAGCAGAATGTTTTGCAATACATGTTTTGTTAAGCTTATTGTATGGAGTAGAATGTCTTGAAATAAGTTTCTTGTTAAGATTAGCTTATTGAGTAGAATGTCTTGAAATAAGTTTCTTGTTAAGATTAGCTTATTGAGTAGAATGTCTCGGAATAGGTTTCTTGTTAAGATTAGTGTATGGAGTAGAATGTTTTGGAATAGGTTTCTTGTTAATTAATATTAGTGTATGGAGTAGAATGTCTTGGAATAGGTTTCTTGTTAATTAATATTAGTGTATGGAGTAGAATGTCTCGGAATAGGTTTCTTGTTAATTAATATTAGTATAGAGCAAAATGTCTTGCAGTACGTGCTTTTTTTTGGTCAGCTGTTGTTATTGTATAGACAAAAGCGCTTTGGAATAGTTTTTATTAGTTAATATTACTGTTTAGAGAAATGTGTCTTGGAATCCATGTTTTTTTGCTTGGCTAAGATAAATGAACAGAGCAAAAGTGTTTTCATTCCTTTAGTGTTTTTCTTCATTTGAACATTTTTATTAATTATTTTAAAGAAGTAAAATCTTAATAGTAATAATATTGTTTGTAATATTGTTATTATAATACCGCATGTTCTAAATAATTTATTCATGAAAAACACAATTCGCTAGAGAAATTAGCTGTCTGTATTTGTTTTTATACTTCATTAAAAGGTAAATAACAACCACCAGTTCACCATGCTTTAGTGGTTGACTTAAAGTAAGAACATGTAGGACTGTTGAACAAGAAGGGTAACCTGACACGTGATACCCAGTGGTCACTACTATGTAGTGGTTGACTTAAAGTAAGAACATGTAGGACTGTTGAACAAGAAGGGTAACCTGACACGTGATACCCAGTGGTCACTACTATGTAGTGGTTGACTTAAAGTAAGAACATGTAGGACTGTTGAACAAGAAGGGTAACCTGACACGTGATACCCAGTGGTCACTACTATGAGAGAAACGTACTATCGTGAAGTATAGTGCAATATATGATTATTTACCAATCTCTAAAACACTAAGCTCGCTGTTAAAAATCTGTTTATGACGTAAACATTTCTTTTGTTTTAGGTGTTCCATTTCCCCCTAGTCATAAACTGACAATAAACGAAGTGTTTGATCCAAAGACAAATAAACCTCGAATAGAAGTGCTTAAACAACACTTTGTATTGGAAGGTAGGATAGAAGAAGCCGCTGCCTTGCGTCTCATCAATGAAGGAGCTGCTTTATTAAGGCAGGAAAAGACTATGATTGACATAGAGGCTCCAGTAACAGGTATGGAGTGGAGTGTTTTATATGTGTGTTAGATTAATTTATTATAATAAGCATCTATTGATATTATATAAGACTAACTTCTCTTACTAAATTATATTATCTGTTTCTACCAAATGGGATTATTTTTGTGTATCGTAGTATCGTATAATATGAGAAACAGTATTTTGACCCTTCAGTTTCACTTTCAAATCATCCATGGAGGTTAACAATGCTTTCGTTAATAGGAGGTAGGTTAATTAAGGTTGCATGGCACAAATCACGATACATGCACTGATATAAACCTGTGTTACTTGTAGGGATGCATGGGTAGTAAAATTTGGCCGAATACCCGGTCATTAAGCTTCGGCCGGGACCGGGTTCTCCTCTCGCTCCCCCCCAAAAATACATACACAAAAATTAGAAACAAAAATAACATTAACGTTTATTACATTTAGCCGAATAATCACCAACAAAACATTCAAGTTTTACATTCAACTTTCAATGCCTAGCCCCAACTTCTCAAACCCTAACCACTATTGTTCTCAAACCCCCACCTTCCCCACAAATCCACTTCTCTAGCCATGCTTGTTATTAATTCCTATTGTTCTCTGAATCCCCGATTTCCAGCGGGCGGTCAGTCTTTGTTGATCAGAACACTTTTTTTCTCTTTACTAAACTAATTATTGACTGTAACTTTCAGTACCGCGTAAGTTGACATAAAGATTAGGACTTAGACGCCATATTCAGTTTCCCGGATTCGGCTGTTTTTAACTTCGACACTCGGCCGGAGACTAGTGTTACCGGCTAGTCCAATACCCGGCCGGGACCGAATATCTGGCCGGGTACCCGTGCATCCCTAGTTACTTGTGACAAAAGAAAAACGTGAATTCAATAAAAACAAGTCAAGCCATCAATTAGTGTATACAAAATCCGTGAAAAACAAACACATATTTTATCATTATTTGTCAACTGATACTATTATATTTGTTTGGAATGAACATATCTATTTAATATAACCATAGAGGAATAAATACATTATAGGTTAAAATCCTGAACGTTTGACGGTTATTGATTTCAACACTATTATAACAAAGTATTTAAACACGTTGTACCTTACATTTACATTTTCCGTAGCATTATAACGGTATTGAACGGCTTTCTTTCCTCTGTTAGCTCTTACTGAATTAATAGTAGGTTTTTCAGTTTCCAGGCGTGGCCGTTCACAGCGGGAAGTGTGCCAGCTGTTAACTTAATTGTTTGTGAAATACAAATATATTTGCAGCAAAAGGGAAGAATGTGTAACAGTAGAAGTAAGACCGATGTTTGGAGTTTCGTTACCTCGTGTAAAAACAAGATTTTTGGCAGGATAGCCCGGTTTAGTACAGCTATTTGTAGAATAGAAGGCAGTTGTAGTGTGCGGGGACCTGCACGTTTTCTACCTGTAAGTTTTCATCGTATGAAGTAAAAGTTGGGATTGATCAATCTGCCTGAACACCGACTCACATGTGGATTGTAAACTGTGTTTTTAGCGTTATGAATAAATATTAGGTCGACTGGTATCGAGAAAAAGGTCTCGTCAGCAGCGGCTTGCAGCACACAAAGTGTATGGTTGAAAATTTATTTTTATTACTGGAAAATGTATAGGGCTAGGGAAGTAATATTTGTTAAAACGCATTATTATTAGTCTTATTATAATGTAATATTACACAAACTACCAATTTATTCATAGATCACGCTTCTCCAGAGTAGGCATTACAGAATACCAAAACACAGTTTTTTTGTGTTTTTTTTTCCCAGTCGTACACATATTTTATTGCAAGACATCTTACCACACCGGTTGTTTCAAGTTTCAACCAGTTAAAAATGAACTTTTTTGCTTATATATTGCTCGGCCTTAGCTATTACCATGGAAACGATGTAAACAACGCTGAAAATGGTGTATACTTTCTTTAGTGTTTAAAAAGAAGGTTATATCAAGCACGAAGATTTGTGTAGAGTTCACATACCGTCATTTTTAACTAGGACAGTGGGTATAGATGGGCATGCAGTCTCATTTGTGTGTAATAAAAATAATAAACAAAATCCGTGCTTTGCTGAATTAATGAACTATTAAAAAAATCAAGAAAATACTGTACAATTTTTTAAAATATATCTTCTTACGGAAAATAAATCTAGGGAAATAAGAGAGCACCAGATTTTCGTTCTCTTTAGAATACAATGAAGAAATGATTGCGTAACCTACGTTTTTGTTAATCAGTTTCAAAAACAGTTTTTAAATGCATAGTACTCAATTTTGGTAAGAAGACTCTGTGTTTTGCAAAGTGTATTAATACTTCATCATAATAGGTCTAGCCTATAGTACTATATACAAATGATAAAACCAATCTTTAACATAAAATTTAGTCTATAGTCTTCTATACAAGTGATAAAACCAATCTGATAACATAAGCTTTAGTCTGTAGTCCTGTATACAAGTGATAAAACCAGTCTGATAACATAAACTTTAGTCTGTTGTCCTATATACAAGTGATAAAGCCAGTTTGATAACATAAACTTTATTCTGTAGTCCGAAGTACAAGAGATAAAACCAGTCTTATAACATAAGGTTTAGTCTGTAGTCCTATATACAAGTGATAAAAACCAACCTGGTATCATAGACTTTAGGTTATAGACCTACATACAAGTGATGAAAACCAGTCTAGTAACATAATATTTAGTTTGTTGTCATACATACAAGTGAAAAAAACCGGTCCAATAATGTAGGCTTTAGTCTTTAGTGCTCTATGCAAGTGATATAACCAGTCCAGTAATGTAAGCTTCAGAGTTTCACAACTTCCTCGGCCTTCAGGCCAGAAATTGTCCTCGTCCGACATGTCCTTCAGTCCAGCATATCTTCAAGTAGACTTACTATAATTTTGCTAGAGTAAGTTGAGTTTCTGTGATTTCCATGCTTATTTTCAGATGATTCTTGATGAGCATTTACTCATCTCTTTCCCTCGAGACTGCAGTTCATGCTTTTTCTCTCTATCTAGAAATGAATGTTACATTTACTCCAATTAGCTGATGATTTTTAATGTGGCCAGTGAGATTCACAATAAAAAAAACTCACTTGGTATTCTATTGATTATAAATGGCAAAGCCAGAGGTAAAAAGAGGATGATAATGTCAGTAGAGAGAAACAGAAAATCTAAGAAACTGTAAGAAAGCCTTGACTGTTCCAGGATAGCCGAATAAAAGGGTTGGGAAATGCGACTTACTTTTGACAAGAAGTGAGATGTTATGAAGTGTACTGCTTGTATCGAGAATTTTGGTAACAGTGTTAATCCTGGGAAATCAAACTGGGTTAACCCTACACAAAAACATGCCTTCATTCTTTCTCCAACTGGCCAGAGGAGAACAACCTATAAACCATTATTGAACCTTCAACTTCATCTGTGGCAGAAGCTGTATTCCTGACCTTTAATGATGCAGATACAACCTCTTAGAAGGAAACTGAAGCAACCACCTTGGACACCTCTTCATTAGTGAAGGAGCAAAGAATTTGAACAGTTACACAGGAGGTGTCTTTTCTGAGGGAGAGACAGATGTTTCTGTGCCTATATTTGCGAAGTTGAACAGTGATGATGAGAGTGTCTCAGATAAAGACAATGATACAGATACTTATTCCAACACTGAAGTGGACGAGAATGAATAGGATGTGTTGGTTTGAGTTCAGAGAGAAATTTAATATGAATACAATTAACATCTGAATTGAATTGTTTTGTCAAGTCTTCTGTGTTATAACTATGCTCAGGCTGCAATCTAATAATTATCATTGCCTATTAAAACAAAAAATATTCTATAATATCAATTTTATTATTCGGTCCACCAAATTTTCAATGACTGATGGACCAAATGTCCACCAGAACTTTTACAGTTTTGTGAAACTTAAACTTTAATCTGCTGTTCTATATACAAGTGATAAAAACATGAATTTTCAGTTTGTTTCACTATAAATATTTGACAAACCAGTCCAAGAATCAAACCTTAGTCTAGAATACTATAACTAATAAATCAGTCTAACAGTATAAGCTTTAGTCTGTAATACTATATACAAATGATAAGCCAGTCCATGAACATAAGCTAAGTTTATAGTACTATATACAAGTGATAGATAAGTCCATGAATGTAAACTAAGTCTATAGTACTATATACAAGTGATAAATCAGTCCATAATGTAAACTAAGTCTATAGTACTATATACAAGTGATAAATCAGTCCATGAATGTAAACTAAGTCTATAGTACTACATATAAGTGATAAATCAGTCCATAATGTAAACTAAGTCTATAGTACTATATACAAGTGATAAATCAGTCCATGAATGTAAACTAAGTCTATAGTACTATATACAAGTGATAAATCAGTCCATGAATGTAAACTAAGTCTATAGTACTACATATAAGTGATAAATCAGTCCATAATGTAAACTAAGTCTGTAGTACTATATACAAGTGATAAATCAGTCCATGAATGTAAACTAAGTCTATAGTACTATATACAAGTGATAAATCAGTCCATAATGTAAACTAAGTCTGTAGTACTATATATAACAAAAGAAATATAATCTGTAGTTCTTACTAACTGATAGATCAGTCTGATTGTGATAGTTGTATATAGTTAATATCTAATAGCTGATTTCTGTTTATTTGACTGGTTATGTAATACAGTAAACATTTAAGTTGACATTATTTCATTGTTGAGGACAGTGTTTGTCTTGTGCTTTATGTAATTCAATGAAGTTTGTTTCATGCAGTTTGCCAAAACTCTTGGCTTCTTTCACTTGCATTGACCAATACTCAAGAGGTAAATCCTTTGTTCTTAGCCAAAAAACATTTGAAAATTATGAACAAATAGAAAGTAGAGCTTTATTATTGAATGGAAGACCTCTTGATTCATGGAAAGACTTATTGATCCAAAACTAAGAGAATAGGACTTTTAATGGCTGTGTGTGTGTTGTGGTGATGATTTTTAAGGTGACC